TTGCCACTTCATTGCTGCTTTTACCCCACTTCCCCCTATCAGTGATGTGTGTGGTCACCAATCAGAGGGCGTATTTCTGTTGAGTCTTAGTCTTGGAAGAGGGTTCCTTGAACATTTTAAAGAGGTCCTGTGCAGCAGATTTGCTTAATGCAATACATCATTTAGTTTCTTGACTGCTGTAGTGGATGGTGGATTTGAACTGCTGATCTTGAAATTAGCAGTTGATGTCTCCCAAGTAGCGCCACCAGGCATTTTTTATGGATTTTTCATCTTAAAATATCCAATGCACTCTAACATATTTTAGTTCAGTGTCTTTAAAGTGGACAGAAACAGAAGTATAGCACAGAAAAAATGAGGAAAGAATTCTGAGAAATACAGTGGTTAGATTTGCTACAAGAAAGAAATATTACTGAAGGTTGTTGCTATTGCCAAGTGCCTTTATGTTGTTTCCAACACATATCGACCATGTACAGGATTTCCAAGGAGAGTCTGGTGGATTTTAACTGCTGACCTTGTGATTCAAAATCGCCTTCCTTTCAATGTTTTATCCTACAGTGCCACACCAGGACTCTGTTGCTGAAGGTAGTGGGGACAATTTGCATTCTTTACTTATGAATTACAATAGACACAGTGTTGGGTGCCCTTTCACTTGTTTCCTTTTAATGATCCTTTTTCTTTTTTCCAAAAGCTGTCTCAGGCACATGGAGCCAAAGAATCTAACAGGTGTCTCAGAATTCCTACTCCTGGGCTTTTCTGAAGATCCAGAAGTGCAAGGAATACTCTTTGGGCTGTTCCTGTTAATGTACCTAATCACCGTGGCTGAGAACCTACTCATGATCCTGACTGTCAGTTCTGACCCTATCCTCCACACACCCATGTACTTCTTCCTCTCCAACCTGTCCTTGGCTGACATTGGGTTCATCTCCACCACCGTCCCAAAGATGCTGCTGAACATCCAGACACAGAACAAATCTATCACTTATGTGGGCTGCCTGACACAAGTGTCCTTTATTTATCTCTTTGGATGTCTGGAAAATCTGTTGCTCACTGTGATGGCTTATGACCGGCTTGTGGCCATCTGTCACCCCCTTCACTACACAGTTATCATGAGCCCCCGACTCTGTGGCTTGCTACTTTTGGTATCTTTTATTATCAGCATTCTGGGCTCCCAGCTTCACATGGCAATGGTGGCACAACTTACCTTCTGTACAGATGTGACAGTCCCTAGTTTCTTCTGTGACCCTCCACAACTCTTCAAACTAGCCTGTTCTGACAATTCCATCAATACCATACTAATGTATTTTGTTGGTGCTGTCTTCGGTGGTCTTCCAGTCTCAGGGATCCTTTTCTCTTACATTAGAATTATTTCCTCCATTCTGAAAGTCTCATCTTCAGGAGGGAAGTTTAAAGCCTTTTCCACCTGTGGCTCTCACCTGTCAGTTGTTTGCTTGTATTTTGGAACAGGTGTTGGAGTGTATTTCAGTTCAGCTGTCTCAACTTCTCCCAGGAAGGAAGCTGTGGCCTCAGTGATATACACTGTGGTCACCCCCATGCTAAACCCCCTCATCTACAGCCTAAGGAACAAGGACATAAAGAGAGCATTGGGGAGGCTTCTCAGCAGAAGAGCATATTTTCAACAAATGTGTCATATATTTTGATTTGTGGGTTGAAAAAAGGTGGCAAAATCTAACATCTACAACCTAAAATCTTTTTCTTTGGTTTCAGAATTCTTTTAGCTTTCATAGGTTTCAACATTGAGTTTCCATGCCTTAACATTACTTTGTTTGTCACATCTTTAATGTGATACTTAAAATATTTTAGGATATCTAAATCTGCCAGATCAATTTCTACTATAGTTATATAGTTTTCTGTAGCTTCTCATCTATGACCAAGGTATGCTGGAAAAATCACAGTTCTGTTTTTAGGTCCTTGGATTCCTCATCCTGTATGATAAATTGTCTCTATTATGCAGACTCCTTTAGCATGGTATATAATTTATACAAAGTTTATGTGTAAAAATGCATGTCATTTGGAATGAATCTTGGCTTCGTACTGGAATCATCTCAGAAACGTAAAATATTATTGCTTGATCCCACCATACAGATCTTGATTTAAACACGCAACTTGAAATTTAGAGTTTTAAAGCTCCACAGGTGTTTTTAATATGCATCCTGGGATAGAATTACTCATGTTTTTAAGAAGCGTAGTTTTTCCTGGAACTGGAACTTCTCCTGAGCAGATGCTGAAGTCTCTAGTGATCATATCTCATAATGGGAAAATTGTGAAAGAAATTGCTTTAAAAACAAGCAAGTGATTTTCCTAATTTACCTGTTGATATTTCTTATGGTATCTTTACCTTCCAAAGCATGTTGATAACTACTCTTGAGCTGACTTGCTTAAACATGGTTTCTTCATTCACAGCAGCAAAACCGCTCCCCAGTTCTGTACCATCCCCATAATTGATTGACTATCAGAGTACTATCATTCAAAGGCTTGTTTTTGGATTATTTTTAGAAGTAACTTTCCAGACATTTCTTACTAATTCATCTCAGTCCAGAATCTCTGCTGAAAATTGTTTAACATTTTGTTGTTGTTGGTGTTGTTGTTGTTAGGTGCTGTCAGGTTGGTATCAAATCATAGTGGACTTCTGCACAACTGAACTAAACTCTTCCCAGTCCTGCACCAACATCACAAGTGCTGCTATACTTGAGCTCATTGCTACGTCCACGGTGGCAATCCATATCATTAGGGGTCTTCCTCGTTTTCGCTGACCCTCTATTTTTCCAAGCATGATATCCTTCCTCAGGGGCTGGCCCATTCTGACAAAATATCTGAAGTATAAGAGACAAACTGGCAAGATTGGCTTCTAAAGAGCATTTTGGCTATACTGCTATCACAGTTTTGCTTCTTCTTTTGGTGGTCCATGTTGTTGTTGTTGTCAGGTGCCACTGAGTCGGAACTGACTCATAGAGACCCCATGCACAGCAGAACAAAACAATGTCCAATCCTGGGCCAACCTCACCACCGCTGCCACACTTGAGTCCATCAATGATGCCACCTGGCCAATCCATCTCGTTGGGGGTCTTCCTCTTTTTCTCTGACCCTCCACCTTACCCAACATGACATCCTTCTACAGCGACTGTTCCCTCTGGACAATATGTCCAAAGTATGAGAGACGAAGCTAAGCCATCTTGGCCTCCAAGGAGCACTCTGGCTGCACTTCTTCCAAAACAGATCTATTGGTTCTTTTGGCAGTCCATGGCACTTTCAGTATTCTCCTCCAAAACCACGACTCAAAGGCATCAATTCTTCTACGATCTTCCTTATTCACTGTCCAACTTTCACATCCATTTGAGGTTATTGAAAATACCATGGCTTGGGTCAGGCACACCTCATTCCTCAAGCTGACATCTCGGCTCTTCATTGGTGGTCCATACATGCTTTTAATATTCTCCACCAACACCTCAACTGAAATGCAGCAATTCTTCTTCAGTCTTTATTTGTTGTCCAACTTTCACATGCATATGACGTTCTTCAAAATACCATAGCTTGGGTCATGCACACCTTAGTCATCAAGCTGACATCTTTGTTATTGAACATTTTGTTGTTCTTAGGGGCTGTCAAGGCAATTCCAAAATAGTTACCATATTCATAACAGAATGAAACACTGTCTAGTCCTGTGCTATCTTTACAATTGTTTTTACTCTTGACCCCTTTGCTGCTGCCACTTTACCAATACATCTCATTGGAGATCTTCTATATCTGACCCTCCATTTTACAAAGCAAAATATTCTTCTCCAGAGATTGATCCCTCATGATAACATGTCAGAAATGTGAGAGACAAAGTTTCACCATACTGGATTCTAAGGAACAGTCTGGTTGTACTTCTTTCAACACAGATTTGTTCATTCTTTTGGTAGTCCATGGTACTTTCAATAGTCTCCTCCAACACCATTACACTAATGCATCAATTCTTCTATGGTCATCCTTATTCATTTTACTACTTTCACGTGCATATGCAGTTATTGAAAATACCATGACTTGTGTCTGGCACTCCTTAGTCTTCAAACTAATATTTTTGCATTTGAACATATATGCTGCAGATTGCTTCTTCCATGAGTACTGATTATGGATCCAAGCAAAATAAAGTTTTGACAACATCAATCTTTTCTCTACATTGTTGTTGTTGTTAAGTGCCCTCGAGTCGGTTCTGACCCGTAGCGACCCTGAACAGAATTTCCGAGGCCGTAAATCTTTACATGAGTAGAAAGCCTCATCTTTCTCCCACGGAACAGCTGGTAATTTCGAACTGTGGACCTTGAGGTTCGCAGCCCAATTCATAACAACTGCGCTACCAGAACTCCATATATATCATGGTGTTATTTACTGATTCAGTTGTGGTAATGTTTGCTTTCTTTACATCGACATATAATCCATACTGAAGTCTGTGGTCATTGATTTTTATCAGGAAGTATTTTAAGTACTCTTCATTTAAAAAAATCAAAGTTGTATCATCTACATATGCCAGGATATTAATGAATCTTCCTCCAATCCTAATGCCATATTCTTTTTCATTTAATCCAGCTTCTCCAATTATTTGTTCAGCATACAGACTGAATAAGTATGGTGAAATAATGCGTCCTTTTAACAAACACTTTGTTTGGTTTTAAACAATTCAGTCTTCCTTTATTCTGTTCAAATTCTGCCTCTTAGTCTATGTGCAGATTTTTGGTGACCATGATCAAGAATACCCATTCTTTGTAATGTTATTCATAGTTTGTCATGATTCACACAGTCTTTGTATAATCAATAAACACAAGTAAACATCTTTCTGGTATTCTCTGTTTTCTGTTAAGATCCATCTGACATCAGCAATGCTATCCTTTGTTTCATGCCCTCTTCCGAATCCAGCTTAAGTTTCTGCCATTTCCTAGTTGATGAACTATTGCAGCCATTTAAAAAATTATCTTCAGGAAAAACTTTACTTCCATGTGATATTAATGATATTGTTGTATGGTTTTCACATTCTGTTTGGTCACTTCTCTTTGTAATGGGCACAAATGTTGATTGCTTCCAATCAGTTGTCCACGTAAATATCTTCCAAATTGCTTGGTAATAGAATGAGTGTCCCAGTGTTGCAGCAGTTTGTTGAAAAAAATTCTATTTGTATTAAATCAACTCATAGAAACATGTATTTTTTCCACAATAACGTCAGTGCTGCTTGGAATTTTTCCTCAGTAACACTGGTTCCTGATCATATCCTATATCTGGAAATGGTTGAACATTAGCCATTATTTTTTGATAGAGTCATTCTATGTAAACCTTCCATCTTCTTCTGATGCTTTTTACAGCATTCAATATTTTGCCCATTGACCCATTGAATCCTTGAACATTTAAGGCAAGGCTTGAATTTTTCTTCAATTCTTTTAGCTTGAGAAATACTGAATGTTTTTTTTTTCTCACCCCTACAGATGTTTGCCCATTTCATTTGAATAATTCTCTTTGTCTTGTTAATAGCCTATTATCTTTCTTCTCCAAATCCATACTTATACATTTATGAGGACTCTAAGTGTGGGGCTATAGGATCAACACTGGAATGCAAATCACAAGGTCAGCAGTTCAAACCCACCAGCTGCTTCTTGGAATCTCATGCAGGGTCAATTTGCATCCAAACTGACTTGATGGTTGTGTTTTGGGGCCAGAGAGGGGAAAACCTTTAAACCACTGTTTAAATGATTCACCATTAATGTCAGGTTCTTCCAATAATGATCAGTAAACATCACTATAACTCAATAAACTTGACATTTTCGTAATAATTGTTTTCTTAGCACTTGGTATGGTAGTTTCCCTCTGAAACTACTTTATTTCCACATTGCTCTTTCTTTTCTTTCAGTTTTTGCACAGCTATTTACCCAATTTCATGTATTAAATATTCTTAATGGTGTTTTCCCTTTACTGAAAACTGACTGGTTAAATTCTAATTGGGAATAAATGTATTTGCTAAGTGTCTAAAATCGGAATATCATAAATTATCTTGCAGGCAACCTCAGTGGTCTACTAGTGAGTGGAAGAGGGT